GAGAAATGACGCCTTTAAATGGAATTAATTTTTAACTTCCCGACCCGAAGGGAGGAAGTTATTGTAATGACCCCAAAAATCGAATGTGGAAATTTAAGCATTTCTCCACGTTTCATTTTATTTTTCTATTCGCTCCAACAATACTTGTGTTGCAAATTAATAAACACATATATTTATTTGATTTTAATAAATGATTTATTTAAAATTAATAAATTGTTGATTTTATATCACTAAATTCTTTATTTTGAAACACGTAAAGTTTCAAATGAAGATGAGCTGTTTTTCTGAGTGTAGCACTTCTCAACAAAATTATGCGAAAAACATTTTTCTTTCACAAAAATATTGTGGTTTTTGCACCAGGTATTATATTCTTGAACAGAGTTATTTCATTTTTCCACTGGACTTCTAGTAAAAAATCTTGAAAGACCAACACTCCACAAGACTACTAAATTTCAAGGATGAATTTTAATGAAAATTTCTCTCCACGCAATATATAATTATTGAGCGGAAGTAGTTTTTTCTCCAAGTCCACCAGCAACAACTATTTCTTCATAAAAAGTCTACCTCGCATATCCTCGAAAATTGACACTGTCAATCGTGAATAATAACTCAACCAGATGCGCTAAATGGACACGAAAAGGGAGGGAAAACCTCGAAACATTCCTCGCCACGATGACCACTAAAAGACAAATTAGACTGTCACGTGACTATCGATTTTCCGCGTTTCCTTATCGAAAAGCCGATGACCATGAATGAAACTCACGCAAGTCTTGACTCGTCGCCATACGCTTACATCGTGATGAACTCATGATCAATCTCTCACGGGAGCAATTATGAATATCAACCTTATTAATTGTTGGTAAATCACGCCAATCCTGTGGATGATTATTATCCATCGGCGAGATGGAGAGATATTTATGGAATTGCGACACGTGTCAAGGAATGACTGTGTTACGTAAATAAAATCACCCGTTACTGTGGCATCTATTGAAATGACTGCGTTTAGAATTCGTATTAAATTATTCAATTATTTTCAAATACTTTTGCAATTTTTCGATTGGAATTCTTTCAAGATTTTGCAATCATTTTATTGTTTCAATTTCAGAGTTTTAAATTAAAATTAATAGTATAAAATAAAGAATAAAATTTAATTTTGGTTTAAATTTTATTCGTTATTTGGTACTGTTAAGACATTTTTTTTCAATTTGAAATGAGGAAGATTTATAAAATATTACGAAAATTCCAAATTTGACATTCTTTCGTAAATAATTCATGAAAAATCAATTTTTTACCGTCAACATTATTTTTTCGGAATCGTAACAAATTTTTTCATTTTCAGAATTTTAGCAGAAATCCATTTCATACCAAATTAAAGTTTTGGAATGTTCAAACCCTTTCCATTATTCATTAAAAATATTCCTGAGAATTTTTTTTTAATAACAACATTCTTGTAATATATAATTTAAATAACACTAGGGGTTTTTCCCGTCTTTCTCACGTAATTTAATACAAAAATTGTATGATGGTCCCCATAGAGAACTGTAGAAGGGACTTGGATATATAATTTAACCTCAAGTCAATTTTAAATGAACGTTATTGGGAATAATAAATGGATGGTGCGGGTTGTGGGTTCCCCCCTCCTCTTGAACGTGCAAGCTGAAGTATGTTCCATGATAGACTCTGGATACTTTTGTCTTTTGGTTCTAACGTCACTTGTCCTGAACTCCTGGCATTAAAATAACATCTCTTCGTGAACGTCTCTTTTCTTTCCAATTCAGTTGTCCACTTGATAGGTTAAACATCCTTAACAATACTTAAAAATTCTATTTCCATCTTAATAGAAAATCATGATTGGGTCCTCAAATACGACATTTCCCAGAACCCAAATATAGAATGTTGGCGATAAATAAGATAGTCGTTAAATATAAATAATAAAATAATAAATTCAATAAACCCTGTCAATAAAGAAAACTGTCTCAGCAGACAGTCGACTGACAAAAATGATTACCCCCAGTTACTACCCTCTGTTGACTCGCAGATCGTTTTAAAACTTGTACTCTCCCATTTTTGCATTTGAAATACTCCCGATGTACTCGTAGGACAGCTCTAAAAATCCTCAGGGGCAGTAACAACGAAATATATAAGAGTGCTTTTGATGGTTATATCTGTAACAATAAACCCGTGGCGGCCGTCGTCGTAGTTGGCGACTCGTTGCCATCTCCCAAGAACTTTTAACTACAGTTACAAGGGATGAGAGGTATATCTCGCGCGACTACGAGACTGCGATGAGTATGAGTTACCCCTTTATCCTCCTCATCCTCGGGATATCCCCGAACCCAAAGCGGCCACCGTTGTCCGACCCTTCCGTACCAATCAAAGTAAAAGTTTGCCCTGAGAATATATCTCGTATAACCCCACAACTACAATCCAGAAAACGTTTTCCTTTTACTTCCACTTTGCGTTATGTATACATGGACTTCCTTGCTCCAACCCCCAAAACCCATCTACGGGTGAATCCGGCTCCAGTAGACTTTCTATGGACGACTGTTCGATACCTCCAAACTGACTCGATCAATCGACGCCCGATGGGTTCTCGTAAAAATGTCCGGTTTTGTGGTTAAAATGGGCCATGCATGGATATGTCATTGGTTCATATTATTGGAAAATATCGTGTATGAAAAAAATTGAATGCATTTTAGCGCTTTCGTTCAGCAATGCTGCTGAAATACTATCAGGAATTCCATCTTTTGTGCATAGAGAAGAAGTTTCTGGTTTCTAGCAATAGTCTCTGAATTTTAATACTCCGGGATAGTAGGAGTTTAGCCTTTCACATCTGGTGACGTTGCAGGATATTGGATAGGATTTTGTAGTGGGTAGGAGGGGAATCAGGATGATTCTCGGTATTAATTTACAAGAATAATCTACGGAAACAAGTGGACAATTGCATGTTTTATAAACGAACATAGTTATTGTTGCTAATGAATTACCAATTTGCTTCCGAACGGGTTGTCTGAGTGAATCTTGGCGCATTCGTTCAGACATTCTATTAGAATGCTGTGAGGAATTCCATCTTTTGTGAATCGAGAAGCAGAAATCTCCAGTTTCTAGTAATAGTCTCTCAATTTCAGAACTCCGTGGTACTACAGACGTGAGTTTAGCCTTTCATATCGTGTGGCGTCGCAGAATATTATTGGATAGGATTTAGGACTGAGTAGGAGAGGAATGAGGATGATTATCGATATTAATTTACAAGAAACATCTACTGAAACAAAATTGTATTTTTTTATAAATGAGTATAGTTATTGTTTGCTAATAAATTAGCAGTTTGCTTCCGAATGGGTTCTGTGAATGAATCTTAGCGCATTCGTTCAGAAATTCTATTGGAATATTATGAGGAATTCCATCTTTTGTGCATAGAGAAGACGTTTCTGGTTTCTAGTAATAGTCTCTGAATTTTAGTACTCCGTGATAGTAGGAGTTTAGCCTTTCACATCTGGTGACGTTGCAGGATATTATTGGATAGGATTTTGTAGTGGGTAGGAGGGGAATCAGGATGATTCTCGGTATTAATTTACAAGAATAATCTACGGAAACAAGTGGACAATTGCATGTTTTATAAACGAACATAGTTATTGTTGCTAATGAATTACCAATTTGCTTCCGAACGGGTTGTCTGAGTGAATCTTGGCGCATTCGTTCAGACATTCTATTAGAATGCTGTGAGGAATTCCATCTTTTGTGAATCGAGAAGCAGAAATCTCCAGTTTCTAGTAATAGTCTCTCAATTTCAGAACTCCGTGGTACTACAGACGTGAGTTTAGCCTTTCACATCTTGTGACGTCGCTGTATATGATTGGATGGAATCTTGGAGTAGGTAGGCGGGAAACCACAATGATTCTCGATATTAATTTACAAGATAAATCGACTGAAACAAGTGGACAATTGCATTTTAAAAATAAATAAGTATAGTTATTGTTGCTAATAAATTTGCTTTCGAATGGTTTCTCTTTTTTAATTCTTATTTCACTATTTTCTTCTTTTATTTTTTCACGTCATACTCTGATAGACAGGATGAGTTATTGTTAAGAAATGGATTTGGTTGAAGGCTAGGGTCCACTTGGTCTCACCAAATGTTTATTCGTTAATAGTTAACGAATCTCATTTGGAATAAATGAATCATTCTATCGGTATAGTACAATGGTATCAAAAATAGATATCCGTGTAGAAATTCAACCGGGGAAGCGGCTGAACCTCCATTCACGCGCTCGAACCGACCGTTGAGCCCCGGCTTGATTGTATAGCAAGCGGGGATTGAGCGGAGAGATTTTTACACGAGTCGTCCAGGTCGGGAATTGAACCTGGGACCTTCCGATTACGCGTCGAGTACTCTTCCTGACTGAGCTATCCGGTTTCTGTTTATTTTGACTTCTAAAAAACTTGTTTATTCAGCCAATTATTTTGACATATGTAAATAACACTGATGGTGTTAAGGCCCAATATCTACAGAAAAAAACAAGTGATTTCTATCACTGAAATTTGGCGATAAATTTCTAATACTACATTATGTAATTAGGCGATAAAAGTATTATCTGACGAATGTGACTTCATAATCCGAGCCGAAGGCGAAGATTATAATCACATGAATTAGATAATACTTTTATCGCTCCGTGACATACAATATTTTATATCATTGGTAGAGAAAAATCATTGCCATTTCTCTATAAACTAGTGACGATAACACTAGAAAGCAGGTGAAATATCACTAAAAATTAGTGCCAAAATCCGTGAATTCCAGAGTTTTACACGCGTTGAATTTCACAATTCCGAATCTCTAGAAATTGGACAGATTTCTCAAAATTAAGGATAGATTACTGAAAGTGACATATCTCTTTCAAAATCAGTGATGAACAGTCAAATAAATCAATTCAAAAAACGAGCATCCAAAACTCATACGTATCTATCCTTTGAATTAAATATTCCGTCATTGATTTTTGTTTCAGAATTCGATAAGACACAATCTGTCCTTGCACAACAGATTTATGCGAGTGCAGAATGAGGGAACAGGGAAGAGTTCCTGGTGGATGATAAATCCTGACGCTAAACCCGGAAAATCAGCCCGAAGGAGGTAAATAAACGATGAATGGATAGCATGAAGAATTTGTTGTTCCATATCATTCCACTTGATTCATTGATGAATTATTCGGATATTCGTAGAGCAACGTCGATGGAGACGAGTAAATTCGAGAAGCGAAGGGGTCGAGTTAAGAAGAAGGTCGAGGCGTTGAGGAATGGCTTGCAGGCTGATGCAACCCCGAGCCCGAGCAGCAGTGTCAGTGAGGGTCTTGATCTATTTCCTGATAGTCCACTTCATGCTGGGGGATTCCAGCTGTCTCCCGACTTTCGGTAATGAATCGACCGCCAAAAGTTGGAAATTTCTCGTTCTTCATTACTCTAAATGATCGAAATGTTCTTTTCTCGAAATAGGCCAAGAGCTTCGAGCAATGCCTCATCAGTCGGTCGCCTCAGTCCAATTCCTGCGGTCCTTGGGGAGCCAGACTGGACCGGAAGTTACGGCTCTTCTTACAGTCCTGAGCAATTAGGTACTTTCGCGATGTTGAATTGACGAGTGGCGGCGCTGAAGCTGCACGATGGCTGACATAACATTTTCCAATTCAAAATTTTCAATCACACTTTCAGGGCCTAATGGGATCAATGGACTAAAAACTCATTTATTATTCAGGAACATAATTGATTGACTTAGAGACAACTCCCAATAGAGAACTTGCATGAAGCTCAGTTGTTTTTAATTCCCCGATTCACACATTCTTCGTAACATAGGATGGATGTATGATAGCTAAACGGCGAAAATTATGGAGAAATATTGCCTAGATGTCTTATGACAATTAATTGAAAATCAGTCGTTTTCGAGAGGAATTTTTCGGTCATGACGTCACGAAGACGGTCAGGTAACGCTTCATTGGTCGAATAAGAAGAGAGTGGGGAGTTGTCCTCCATTGGCCGAGGCGCAGCTCAAGATTGGGTTATTTCGACTCGAGCCATTCTGTGATTGGTCCAGTGCTCAACCGTTCTGTGAGACGTCATTAGTGATTTCAAAGTGTGTGAAATCTTGAACTTTTAGCAATTAATTATTAACTAACGGGCAATATTTCAAACGTGAATGAAAAATGAATTAGTCAGGTCCCAAACTTGAGATTAGAAAATTGAAAAAAAATCATGCAAGTTCCCTATTGTGTGTGTCAATAGGAAGCTACCCCTAATACCCCTTTTGTTGATTTCCTTTGAAACGCTTTATAACCGGCCATGTTCAAGCGTCAGCGCCGCCTCGCGCCCAGTTAACCTCGCGAGTAGCCCGAGTGGAAATTGCTTCAGGCCCACCTGAAGCACGATCAGACCCTGAAGCACGACCNCCGGAAAACTGTAGGATGATTCAGATCAAGTTCTGATCAGGTAGGCACGATCTCACCCTGAGGTCGGCTGTCTGACCCCAATTTGATCAAATTCCGATTTGATGTCTTTGATCGGCATTTGAACGGGGTCAATTGAAGAGAAAATTATCCGATTCAGATCCGGTACACCTGACATTAATTTTAATAAGTTTTTCGGATAGTTTAGTTAACTACTATTATACTATTCAAATTAAGTTTTATCAACCATTATCAATAATTATTTTCAATCTTTGAAAAGGATCATCATACTATAATTAAAATAAATTAAAATAAATTAAATTAAATTAAATTCATTTAATTAAATTAATTTAATTTAATTAAACAATTTAATTAACGGCCAGTCCTCCTCAAATGTACAGAAGGGAGGGATGATGATGCCGTAAATACGTATTAGAGGAGTATCAAACTTACATGCAAATGATCTTGAGAAAAAAAATCACCAAATGTCTATTTATTTATTAATGTTATTGTTATTATCATTATTATTATTCATTAATAAAATAAATAAGAATTTAATTGAGCATATTTTATCTCGAAGAATACACACGCACATCCGCGAGATCAGGAATAATCGTAAATTCAACGAATACCCGGATACAAATCATATAGGCAATGTACAGTTTACTCAATAGTAATAGCGCGATAGCGTAGTGGTTAGGGCATAGGATTAGCAATCATAGGGTCCCCGGTTCGATCCCCAGCATCGGTAAAAAAATAATAAGCTTTTTCAGAGGTAATAGCAGTAGAGATTCATTAAGAGAGGCGGCCTACGGTGAAATAATTGAATTATCTTTTGTTTTGGATTAATTATTATTGATAATTGTTATTGATACTGACAGACAGGTCATCCGGTTTTCATACAGTTGATTTGGTCAAGTTCGGATCCATTCGTCCTGATCAAATCCGGATTGGTCAGAGGCGTAACATGCCTGATCAAGACCGGATCCGTCAACTTGATCAATACCTGATCAGTGGTCAGGTCTAACCTGATCCAAACTTGATCAAGTTCTGACCGGAATTTCCACTCGGGAGGGTTCATATTTATGAAGGATCTAGAAGCGAAGTGGTAAATCGAGTTGAATCCATTTGATTTGAATTTAGTGCGAGTTTTGATTATATCAGAGTCTGAGGTAGACAGTGGAGAGTCCTTTTTGCGGAGAAGAATAAAACCTTCAAAAGGGTCTCAGCATTCTCCTCACGTTGTAGAAATCAATTGAAATTTCATGGACAGTCGAAAAGTAATTTTCAGGAGAGTGACATTGAATGCGATTTAAGGCCCTGCTCCATTATCTGCCGAACGTTATCTAAATTTATTTTTTCGTTCGATTTCTATCGCGAAATTTCAACTCGATGCCCCGTCACTTAGGGACACCCGAAAATTCTGAATTCAGATTTTTAAAAAAGTAAAAAAAAATCTGAAGATTTTGAAAGAGCGTTTTTAATTAACCCCTCACGTACGGCGTCGATGCCATGCATTGACCCATAAAAATATGAATGACTCTCTTTGAAATTGATTATTTCCAAAATTATGGAATTTAACTCAACCAAACAAATAACAACGAAAAGCGGAATACTGTAGCTTTAATTACATATCGGTTTCATGATTTTCCGTTGATTAGAAGTCATTGCATTGTAGTTGTATTGAGCGTCCTCCACGCTTGGAAACAAAAGGACCCCGTCCGTGAGGGGTTAATATTCAGGAATGATTTCAATAGAGGAAATATGAATAATGTATAATTGGGCGGTTTTGTTTTTATTAATAATAATAAAAACAAATAGCGGCCTGTCGGTCGGAAGAAAAAACGAAATAATAAATCCTTTGGCACCTCGCAACAAGACGATTGTACGAAAAAAGGCTCTTTGAAATTTTTTTAAACATTTTCAAGAATTTTTTGATCACACTCTTACGATGAATTCTAATCACTTATGTCAATCTCCTCCATTGATAATTGTACTGGCGATCAGCGGTCACTTTTTCCGGGAATTGAAAACAGGAAAATCGCTCTTTCTTCCTTTTTTTTGCTCCCTTGTGTTTTTCTTCTCATTGTGACGTACTAATTTGAAGAATTTTAAACCCGCTTTAATGTGTTTAATATTACCTTACTCCCATAAGGTTTTAAAATTCTGTAATTAATAGAGTTCAGAAAGATATCATGCGGAGAAATCAGTGAGTACGAAATCATTAATATCTCAGACCCTATACTGAATAGCACCATGAAAATCAACAGCGGCTTCCCTGATAAGCACCCTACGAAATATATTTCCTTCGGTTCTGTTTCGCGCTGCATTTTTTTTATCAACCTTTTTATTTGTCAACAAATTTATTGCAAATTGGACTTTTTTGCAAACAAATATGTTTTACATGATTCTATCACACTTTAGCAATAAAAAATAGGCAGAAAAACTTGAACGGAAATTACGTTTAAGAAGTCGTTTTTTACGATTCCTGAAGCCTATTTTACGCTTGAAGTTAAAGTGTAAATAACTCTCAAAATCGTTGCAAATTACGATTACATAAACGTAATTTACGATTTCGCATTCGTAAATTACAGTTACATAAATGTAATTTACGGTTTTGTATTTATAAATTACGATGATTATTTCCTTATTTTACGTTTACTTATCCGTAATTAACGACGAAAAAAAAAAGTTATTTTAAACATAAACTGCAATGTTTTTGTCGTAAATTGCGCATAAGTAAACCATAAAATACGTTTCTATTAAGATTGTAATTTACGATTTTTTAAGCGTTAAACACGTTTAGTAAAACATAAAAGACGCTTTGTTTCTGTGTAATTTACGTTTTGATTTTGACCGCAAAACGCGCCTTTTTGAAGCCTAAATACAGATTTTCAGTATAGAAAAAAGTCACCAGACATCATAATGGCGTTAAACGTAAATTACGTTTAACAAACCGTAAATTGCGCTTAGTAGAACGTAATTTACGTTTAGGTTTTTCTGCATGCTCTTTCATCTTTTCGATACAATCAATCTTTATCGAGTTATGGTGTTACAAACAATTACTTACCTTGGGATACCTCCAATTTTGTATTTTGTACAACTTTGGCAAAAAAAAATTTTCTCATTGAAATAGCACGGAATGGTCCACATAGAAACGTCGGACGTGAATGGATAGCATATAGCATTCACTTCTCATAGAATTTAGCGTAAAAACCCGAAAACAGACAACCTAATTTCGAGTAATAATATTTCTCAACATCTGTATAAGCTCTTTCGGTCAGAAATATGTTGCAAACACATGAAATAATCTTCGGAAGAATGAAGAGAATGCTTTGTATTATTATTTGGTACAAGAGCAAGAGAAAGTATATCATTTTCTTCAAAGGTGATTTTCAGAGACGATCGGATTATCTCTCGATTTACCACTTCATTATTGGACCTACAGATCTATTTTACGCACTAGGCAAACAACTGCCTTGATTCAAGTAGTTGAAGGTCGCTTGGACCATAAAGTCCATTGACGACTTGAATCTTTCAAACGAAAACTATTTGAATTGAAAAGGGGCAGGTTGAGGTGGAGTCTAACTCTCCTTAATTTAAGGATATCCAAGTAGATCATGATTTTTATTTCAAGCCGGTAGTCTTGCCGAGTCGATGAAGTTGGAGTCCTACCAGATGTATCAAACATCTCCACCGAATCATCAACAGCAGACAGTGCCACCACCTTCGTACTTCGAGGCTCAATATCAGAGAAATAATACTCTGCGTAAAGCAACGTCACCCTACGGTCTACCCCCAACGCCACAGCCTGCTAACCGACAGAGATGTCCGATTCATCGTCTTCAGCCCTGCACGTGTCAAATGGTGGGTAAATCCGTGATTATTATGTCTAATCGAAGGGGTACTTCATCATAGCGTTATTTCTGGAAGGAGTCAATTCGAGAATATAGGGGGCACATCGTAAGGGTCATGTTAATTTCACTCATAATCTCTTGCATGTGTCAAATCGAATAGGAGATATGACCAAAACTATTCTAAGGATCAGACGAGTGAGATGAGCAAGATGATCTAAAGGCGAAACGATTTTCATCATTTGAATCGTTTGGCTCTTCGAATTATTTTGACCCATATGATTAGATCTGTAAGATTTCACCCAAATTTAGGAAATGATTTGAAGTTAATTCAGAGGTCATGTTATGGAATAGACTTGAAATAATTAAAATCACACTGTAATTACATTACATTAAGTTCATTTCGAAGTAATTAGGTGGAAATAGATGGAGCAAATCGTAAGGGTCATGTTAATTTCACTCATAATCCCTTTGGGCATTTGCGTGTGTCAAATCGAACAGGAGATATGACCAAAACTATTCTAAGGATCAGACGAGTGAGATGAGCAAGATGATCTAAAGGCGAAACGATCTTCGCCATTTGAATCGTTTGACTCTTCGAATTATTTTGACCCATATGATTAGATCCGTAAGATTTCACACAAAATTTAGGAAATTATTTGAAGTCAGAGATAATGTTATGGAATGGACTTGAAATAATTAAAATCAGACTGTAATTACGTGATATCAACTTCATTTCGAAATAATTGTGTAATTCAATCCTGGAATGCGTACCCCGAGTTGTCGGCAGAGAGGAAAGTTTCTAATTTCAAGCGTCAAGTTACCGATTTTGAGAGACTCGTGGTTCTAGAAAGCATTGTACCAAGGATAATAAATTGATTGATTAATTTCAAATTCGGTGCTAAATACCTTCTTATTAAGGTAAGAACATTCGAAAGGGATGAATTTCTGAAAGAATTGAACATTACTTCAACATTAATTAAGTCATATACTTTGAATAACAAAGGATTTAAAAACACTAGTGGACTAATTTTCAGTTCCAAATATTCGTGATTTGAAAACCCAAAATTTCCGAATTCTAGAACCAAAATTTTCTCAAAATAAGAGAAAATGTACCTGATTTTAAGTACAATTTTAATATATCCAATTAAAAATGAGTGAGAATTAGTACTTTTCAATGTAATTGTAAAGGAAAATTTTCTTAAAATGAGTGAGAAATTCACTTATTTCCAGGAGTTTCCGAATCTTTTTTTTTTCGTCTGAATACGGAACTTGCATGAATTTTTAAAAAAATTTATTAATCTCAAGTTTCAGCCTTAAATGATTGATTTTTCGTTTATGAACATTAGAAATATTGCTCGTTAATTAATAATTGATTGCGGAAAGTTGAAGATTTCGAATGCTTTGGAATCGCTAATGACGTCACAAGAGTGGTCACACGCTCGACCAATCACAGAATGGTTCGCACCAACCTACCCCAATCTTCTCATGCGCCTCATCCAACGGATGACGGCAGCTCCCCTTTATCCTCACACGAGACCGACCGCGCGTGCTACGCACGCGCCTTCTCATCTCCTCACGTGGCCCTTCGGTTTCAGTCTTACGCTTATTCGAGATTTTCGAGATATTTCGAGATCGATTTACTTTTTCGTTTTTACGATAGGATTCGACCAACGAAGCGCTACCCACACGGAGAGAAAAATATACGACAATCTCGTGGAAGGTCCCTCCAAAAATTAGTCTGGTATCCATCCACCAACTCGGGGACGTATCGGGGAGTACGCTAATAATAGAAATGTAACACTCCTATCATTCGAAGGAGCAAGGTAGAAAATAGTAGGTGGCACTCTACGAAGTCGCGCGCTCGGGTATTCAAAAATTGGTGTGCCATTCACTAAAATTCGCACTGCATGCGCTACTCCACGTGCATTGCGAGGCCAATTCATTTTTCAAATCACAGAGGTCACCACTTAGTAAAGGAGAACAGAAGAAAATTCAGTGAGTGGCACACTAAAATTTGAAGAGGGCCCCGCCAGTTTTTCGTCTCTGGTTCCATAAAAATACGATTCCTCAAACTAGTTTCTAATGAGCGGAAAAAAGTCGGGTGCTGCACACGAAAGTTTGGAGAGAGGTAGTCTGAATTATGATTGTCAGAATCCAATTTGTATAGAGTATTCTTTTGTGCCCCTTTTGGTACGTCCCATGCGTTGATGAGAAGGTACACTAATTTTTGAGAGATTTTTCTCTCCGTACAGCATTACTCATGCCACTTTGTGACGTCATAACCAAAATAATAGGTGTTAAAAACGTCTGAAAATTGGAAAAACTGAACCCCATGCAAGTTCCCTATTCAAAGGACTTCATCTGAAAATCTCCCTTGGCGATCGGTACTAAATATGGTTTTTCCATTAGAATTTGAGTCCGGTCTCAGGGATGTCGCCATCTTACCAGAGTGAATCCAGCACATCACCCCTGGGTGCTCAACAACAAACACAACAGGCCCAACAACAACAACAACAACAAATGAGAACAGTCAACGAGCAAGAGCTACAGTACCTCCTACAAGCTCAGAGTCAAACGCAACAGCAGAATCAGCAGCGGCAGAGTCAAACGAGACCAACGAATTCTAGTCCCCCTCAGACGCCAACCTCTACGCCGAGCACAATGATGGGCCAATTAATGGGTGCATTAAATAATACAACGTTGCTCGATGACTTGAATATTAATATTGAGGGACTCCACGGTGGTTTCGACTGTAATGTGGACGAGGTAACAAGATAATGGTTTTTGGAGATGAATCAGACGTTGATGGAGGTTTCACACGTTGGGGAAATTAGTTAATTGGGTTGAATTGTTATTTATTCTGGACGTAATTAGAGTTTTGAACTGAAAAGTTTTTTGAAGTATGCCGACTGGAGAGTGATATGTTGTCAAAAAGTATGTCGCGTTATATGTAGGTTGAAATTTTAATGATGACTGAACGGTTTAGGAAAGTTAGAGGCGGAGATGAAGTAACTCAAGCTGTCGTGGTATTTTTTCCATCATCAAATGTTGTCGGAATCCCAAAAAAAAGGGGAAAGACTCATCTAAAGATGAAATTTTCCACGAATCTTTATGATCATACGATTTTAAACAACCCGGCGGTAGCAAATATAAGGGGGAAGCCCAGGAGATCTAACCAACACGATACGCATGCCTATAACCAATGAGAATTGAGCAAATAGAATTGGCGGGGCGATTTTGCGATTTAATTTGTTATGCAGATGTTTGTTGGTTAGGTTTTGCAGAATTTCTCCCTGACTTTCAAATCATATGATTTATATTGACTAGCATGTGATACGGCAACTAGCATGTGATATTGAATCGATGCATTCTACGATAACATTACGAATTCTCACTATCAATTATATGAGTTGCAGAGATTAGGTGAAAATTCTGGGACTTTTCGTCTACTCATTACACAGCCTCTTTTGGCATTGAAAATCCTTTTTCGCACTTTTATTAAAGTATATTCCAAGACAATTCCACGAAAAAGTTAGTCCCTATCGATTTCCGAAAAAAGTTTTGAATGACTTCATCGATTGCGTGCTCATAAGTTATTAAGTTTCTCTATCCTCATATGTTGTAGATAAGGGCAACAATAACTGTTGGAATCAAATGAGAAATGATTTCACGAACTTTCCATTTTTTAGAGTTGAATGGGGGAGACCGGGGCAAAGCGGGGTACCTAAGATAAAGAGGCGGGTCAGAGCTTCTATCATACTTATATTGTTTTTTAGCAATCACTATTCACATCCTAAAATGATCAACTCGTGACTCCAACGTATTACAGTTGGGGGCACAGTGGGGTAGTGTCCAAAATTTTTTAAATAATTATAAATGTTGTTTCTTTGTTTTTCACCTTCAAATCTCCAAAAAAAACGTCAGAAAAACTCTGAAATTGGTAAGGAAGATCCCAATGAATCAATTTTTTAATTTGGGGCACGATAGGGTACGCATAAGAGAATTCTTTTTCTTCAATTTCATGTTCATCAACAGAAAGAGTACGTTGTAACAATTTTCTATACATTTTTTAACATTTTTGTTATTTATCAGGTTAATTTTATTTTTTAAATTCATTATTCATTTTTTCCACAAAAGCCATTTTTTTCCTGAATTTAATTTTTTTATTTCAGAAATTGAAATTTCCGAATTTATTCATTGTATTTGTCTTGTTCATGTCAATTTCACGAAGTGAAATCCTAATCCTCATTGATTGTTTTTATTCTCTTGCTTTAGTTGCAAAGTGACCCTTATATCAATAAACAGAGAGTCTGCACTGTAAGTGGAATTCCATTCTTCTCATTTTTTATTTTTTCCGTCGTTACCGACTGTTGGGGGATGGATTTAGCAAATCTATCTGACTATCTAAGTCTAGATCATTGTGAGAACTCAGTTTTAATCAAAATACCCAATATGGTAGCTCATCCCGGTGTTTAAAAGAACTGAAAGAATTTCCAGAGTTCTTTAATTTTTTAAAAAAGTTCCTCAATATTATTCCCGTTTTTTGAGCTTTTTTTTACTTTTTGTTGATCCCTGATCGACCCCTCGTCAACTCCTTGAATTTCTCAATTTTGGCCTTTTTTATATATCCCCTATGCCCCGGCCACCCCGCTTTGCCCCGGTCTCCCCTATTGCAGAAACCCTGTACTATAAAATTTCACAAAGAATTCACTACAGATTCATTTTTTAAGAACATCGTAAGAACCATTTAGTACATTATTTAATACATTATCCATGAAAAATATGAGGAGAATCGTCAGAAAAACCTGTTTTCCAGGAATATACCTTAAGGATCCTAATTATAATCAAATGATCCTAAAATTCATAAGGAGAATAAATTATTTCCAACAAATGAATTATTTTTTCCCATGTTAAGGTTGTTCTCGTGTAACTTTTTTTTTTCGATAGTTTTTTTTTAATTTTTATCGTAGATCGCTCTAAAAATTAGCTGTAAAATAAGCCCATTATAGTTGCAATTGACCATCTCAAACTTAAGATCATTTTTTTTTAATTTTAAATGTTGTTAAATGCAGTTTTATCGTTTATAATTTTTTTAAAAACAACCACTCGACATTTTTTATTAAAAAAAAATCACAGTGTGGAAATAGTGTCAATCAATGTACAGAAAAAAAATGAAATTGATCGACCATTTCATTTTCGAGAAATCATCATAGAAAGTTATTTATTCCCCCAATGGACGGGGCAAGTGAGTTCAGTATGCGAGTCGTGACAACAACGCAGCTTCGAGTCGGTGGCGCGGATGTATTTGAAATGGTCGGGTTATAATGAGTAGTTCAAAAATGCGGTAATTCAGTCTTTTTTTTATTGACTATCTATAAACACTGTAATAATTAACAAACATGGAAAATAGTATAATAAAATGATAGATAGTCATGTGTTATTTGACTCACGACTCTCAAAAAAGGAAATAATTTTATCATTAACTTTTTTAGTTTTCGTAACTCGGGGTTTGTTCATGTCATTTCGTTCTGATAATAATTGCATCAATCCTCCTTTTTGTTTACTCGCTGTCAACAACCTGTCAAATGAGATACCAGAGTTGGAAATTTTTTTTAACATGTCAGATACATTCAAACCATTAACGAAGGTAATAATGTCAATGCTTTTTATTTGGTAATTTCCGATACGATACACTCAAAGTACGACTTTTTTGCAAGGACTAATTGTTCCTTAGTTATTAATTTCTCTGACAATGTTTCTAAAACCTCAACATCAAATAGTGCTTCATGGAAATTACCACTAATTTCCAGAGAATGAATTCCAGAAGAGGATGGAATTCAGTCCCATTCGTTTTTCATTCTCAACATTTTCTAATGATAGTATTTCTTTACAACAACTACATTTTAAATGTTCGCCAAGGATTGAAAGCTCAACAATTCTCCTTCCTGAGCAAATATTCGTTTTTTCATTCTCTCGTTCAACCTGACTTGTATTTGCAGCAGTGTATTGAAGTTTTTGGTTTTCTTTGGCATGCACCATCTTCGAAGCAAAATTTCGCTGTTTATTCAATACATGCGCTTTCACAAACCTCCCTTTGTGCCTCAGCCGATTCGACATTTTTCCCAATGATTTTATAACACTCACTAACATAAACAGGGAGAGAGATATTGCTAAATGGTTAAACGAAGTTTTATCGAATGATTCAATGATAAAGAATGATAAGAATTCTTTCCATTTTTGAATTGGACTCCCAGATGCGTCCCTGAGCGCGCCATCCCCACTCGCCGGGTGGGGACAAGCTCCATGACTCAATGGATTAAGGATGTATTATACCCTTTTCCCCAAAATTCACTTTTTTTAAATTTTTCTGGTAAATTGTGGATTGGATTGACGTGAAAAAATATAACGTTTTTGCGTTTTATCATTACTTAATGACTCACGAAATTTCATGATCGTGCAATCATTTTCCTGCGTTTTTTCTAAAACTTTTCGGAAATTCACAAAACTTGAGAAAAAATGCAGGAAAATGATTGCACTACCATGAAACTTTGTGAGTCAGTCAATAATGATAAAACGCAAAAACGGTATATTATTTCGCGTCAATCCGGTCAATAATTTGCTAGAAAAATGAAAAAACGTGAATTTTGGCCGAAATGGTGTAGTACATCCTTATAGGAACTGCCCGTTTCGCAACGTTGCCGGAAACTCACTAAACATGTCCGGAGAGTGTACACTGATAGAATGGTTTAGTCGAACCAAACGATTCGTTAACTATTAACGAATCGCGGTAACAGTTAAGAAGCCTCATTTGGTGCAACTGAATCGTTCTACTTTTTCTATCAGTGTAGGGTGAATTCGGCAAGGCTGCTGCCCAAATAATACCGCAGCGTATCCCTGCGGAGGTGACCAAAGTCGCTGAGTCGCGTATGACCAGACGAGGGTTTATAACCCTAATTTCTATGTTGAAGGTAATCAAACACGAGCTCTCGATGGACGGCACGTTGGACTTTAACTTTCAACAAGGAATACTGGGGACAGCAGCTATCCAAGTTACAGACACTGCCATGAATCAGAGTAACGTTGTTACGTCAAACAATCAGGTTGGCTCGTCAAATCCATCGAGTGGCGTTTATGCCACAAATCCAACGACACCTGCTGCAGCACCCTCCTGGGTTCACTAGCAGTGGTGCACACTAACAACGACATCAGCCTCGTTCTCCCCAACTTCCATGCCGCCACATCAAACGCGTTTTTCTCAATATCGCGCATCCAAGCGACAATACACTGGTGAGTACAGAAACAAATTGATATTAAAGTGAACCATCGAGTCAACTTGGGGAAGCATGGGGTGTTGACGGCTATGAGGAAAAGTGTTAACGTAGGGTAGCTGATGCCTGTACTACCCAGCGGGTAATATCGTTCACCCGTACTTCTCAGGATGGCCGAGAAAAAAATGTTTTTCTTTTTTTACTATACGAATATTTAATAACAACAAGTAATTTCAACAGAAATTTTCAATTTTCTCCTGTGGAAACTTCGTTAAAAAAATCTAAATCATTTTCTACTGAATTCGTAAAATATTTCGACTCCAGCATTTGAGATTTTTCAAATTTTTAGTTGGTTCATAATTGAATGAAGTGGGAAGTATGAGTTCGTTATACATTTTCACATCCATTGCGACCTTTTCGATAGCAGAACAATATCTTCATCAGTTATTAATTGGAAGGTTTTGTAAAAATATTGTGAAGGAAAGAATTCAGAATATATTGGAAAATAGTACAATTACAATTAACTTTGTTGTCCCATTGATTTCACGGAGAGAAGTGTTCAGTACAAATTATGGAACTCATAATTCCATCACCGATTACGGAAACGACTCAGAACATTTAAGTGACAGTATCGTAATTTTTCATAAGAGATTCAGATAAAAATTACGGAACGCAATTTTTATTGAATATTTCGCTCCGTGTTCATTATCCTAATCCCCTATTTCAGGTTCTAATATTAAATTACGATAATCCCTAAAGATAAATAGTCCCAGTCAAAGGTAATTACATTTCTACGTCCATTTTAATATTTTCAGTTATAATACCGCGAAACCTTCAAAATTATCGGAATATTTCCCGATAGCTTCGTTGCAAACAAATGAAAGTGTCAAGTTTTGCAGGCTAAAAAATTTTTCTGCTAAACTTGACACTTTGGTTTGTTTGCAGGGAAGTTTGAGGGAGATATTGCGATTAATTTTGAAGGTCGAGGGGAATTCGGCGAAAAATTTACCGGGACTGGATTCAAGGGCTTCTTCCAGCAAAACATCCAATTGGTTAGAAATAAATGAAGAGCTACTATGCAATTATCAGATGCAATTTCCAGAAGCTAGTGTACAATTTCCGAAAAAAATTGATAACAAAAGAGTATCGTGACCTCGAATACTGCGCTGTGATTGGCTAAAATCCAGTTCCGGAAAATTCTTGATAAAATCCCCCGTTACAAATGGTAATGCCGCCCACGGTTTTTATAGGGCTGTTAGACTCTGCCGCTAGAGGGCAGTCAAGTGACAGCTCGATTGTTTTGGGGTAGTCGGTAGCCACTGCAACATCGGGTAAATTCAGGATAATTTATTATTATTCACGTAAAATCTTTAGCAAAATGGAGCCAAAGAATGGAAACGAACGATAAAAATAGGAAAAATTACAATAGTTGACCTGCATTACTCAAAAAAGTCATCAAAACAAGGTGGGCGGTATTGGACGCATGCCTGGCGGTATTACCTTCAATGTTAGATTCCACCGCTCACTGGCCGATGGCAATTGAATTACATATTTTAATATGTTTAATGTTAATAAAAAATTGTTCTCTTCACATATTCGAGTAAACACCTCGAAGAACCCATTTTAACCGTTTATGACTCCTTGTAGAGTGCGAGGCTGGAAAAGACTCATTTCCGTTAGGAGGACGGTACATGCACCATAACGTAAAAAATGGAAACAATCTGCTATAGCTTGATGAAAATTGAATTAAATCAGATTTATCATACACACATTTTGAAGAGCTTTCACTATTCTTTAAAATGCACTGAGAAAAAAATTTATTCCTCCCAAGAAAATGTTATTGGTGATATCTTTTTCATACTCTTAGTAGAAGAAAATATCTCTTTTGGAACGTATTTCTCCAGGCCAGTCATTTCCAGGTGCTCCGAAATCATTTCCAATCGTGAGAATTATGGTGATCTATAAGAATATTCTTCTGCATATGACCTCGAAGAAACTCCAATAATAATTATTAACATTTGGAATTATTCCAATTTTCTTTACCTGAGAAAATCGCCAATTTGTAAAATCCGGAAGATATCGGAGAACATTTTGTCAAGGTCATATGTAGCATAATAATCAGATTGTTCAACATCACTGTAATTTTTGAGGATAGACTTGGACTCTCTGAAAATGACTGTCCTGGAAAAATTCGTTCTGAAAAAATATTATCTTCTGACGAGAATATCAATCCTTGGCAGGAATAATTTTTTCTCTCAGTGTGATAGGTAGCTATCCCTGCCTAGTCTATTAGGAGCATCAAAAAATTAAACTAAAGTCAATTTTCCAAGTGAAATATAAAAATTGAATTTCCGCCTAAAACTCTCATAAGTTAAAAAAATTGGTAGAATGGGGCAAATCAGATCTCATTTTAAAGCTTATTTAACAAGCTTTCAATTGAGTACATTAAATGTGCAGTCCATGGAAGAGGAAGAAGGACTCGAGCCTAGAAACCAAAGGAAAAACCGTGATTACGGACATCTTCCCACGCCTCTTACAAATGGACTACGTATCCTTGTCGCGAAAGGATCACCTCAACCCACCAAAATCTCCAGTAATCGAAAACACTTTGCAACAATTCACCGTCCAAAACTTGAATCGCAACCTCTCCTCCATCCAGCAGTAACTCGCGCAGAGTTAAAAATTTCAAAATTTTGAATTACGACCTGAAATTTCAAATTTAATAAAAGAGACATAAAGAATCATAAAGGAAAGGACAAACGGAAGTCGACGTAGAGGGGCTAAAGTATGAGGATAAAAAGAGACAGTCAAGAAGCGTTTGGGGAAGTTTTTCGGCAAAAAAGTTGAAAAAGAATGTAACGAATGAACAGAAGAGGAGTCGTCGGAGGTGAGAGGACGGAGGAAAACGCTTGCTCCTAGGGGGTGAGGGGGACTGCATGTTGGAATAAAAAGACGACTGTAAGGAGGGGAGTTTTCAGATCTCTCCTTGAGCAACTTTATAATTCTTGCGACGCTTTTGGGGAATGAGATCGACGGGGTTGGAAAGTGGTGAGAGCAGGCCAAATCCAAAAATGTCGGTGCGGGGCGGGGGAGGGAGGGATGTAAGAGGGAAGGCTCGCCGACGGAGTTAAGGTAGTAGTACTGGCGCCAGGCAACGTCTGGCCGAATAGTCGTTGACTTTCAGACTCTCGCACCCAGTTTTCCAACCCAAGTGGCTGCTAGCTTCGTAGGAATCCCGTCCATCACGTGGTTTCTTTCCGTGACCTTTTTTTTCAGCTTGTGAGAAAAAAATATATAATTCTTGGATTTAGAGCTTTTTACTACATTACACAGGGGAGGAGATTCTTTTCACTTGAGTATGAATTATGGGCATTGAATGGGGGATTAAAAAGCGGCATTATGAATAGTTAATGTCGTTGAGCGATCGGGGATAATCATTTCCGATGGGTGTTTGAGTTAGAAGAATCCGGAGAAATAAAGCATTTGAATCATATGAAACTCCTCATTTGAAATTTTTTACCCATTCCGACTGTAGGGACAATTATTCAAGAAATGTCAAAACCGATTAAATGGCTCCTTGAATATTTTTAAAAGAATGCATATTCGTTTGTATATTGGACATTCTGGTAATGAGACATTAGATTCAAATTTGTCATTTNGGGGGGGGGGGGGGGTGAAACGGATTTAAGTGTGCATTTCAACATTTTTTGGATGTTGATTTTATTTATCAGATTGATTGATTTTTTTCTCATCACCTACGGGTGTCAAATAATTTTTATTGGATCTTTTTCTAATTATTGAAATAAGACTAAAATGCGTCTCGAGTTCGTAAACCTTTCGAGTGGTTTCTCTCTTTCAGTTCCATGGTTCAACCCATACCTTTCCCATGATGCTCACTGACATTTAAATCACGAGCTTGCGCGTGAGGGCGTAATTACCGCAAAACTTATAATTTTCTGAATCATTTGTTCAAATAACTTTCTTATGAAATTTGAAAAAAATCTGAAACTTATACGTGTTCTCAAGAAAGATTTGATTGATCACCCCTAGTTTTTCCTCAATAGTTCATTATTTTTTTGGGTGCCATGGAAATTTCTCTAATTGAGAGTGCGATAACCTCTGAGGTTATAGCTGGAGGGGTTACAAAAACATCCAAATTTCATTATTTTTCTTCTTCAGACTGAGAGCCGAAAAAAAAGTGCAAGAGTTATCAATGATGCAGCATACTCAGACGTTTCACCCATGAATTTTCCAATCTGTTTTCGCCATTTCGACTTCTTACACGAAACACCTTAAGCTGCGTCGCACAAGATTTTTTTTTAATAATAAACTCTGAATGGGGGATTAAAAATGTCATTATGAATAATTAATAATGGCGTTGAGCGATTGGGGACAATTATTTTCGATGGGTGTTTAAGTTCGAAGAATTTTCGTTGCGAATCATTCAATCCACCTAGAGAAATGAGGCGATTGATTAAAGTAATGTTCATTATTTTCAATTTTCTATACATTTCAACAATATTTCTTTTTTTTTTTAAATCGATAAACTTTTATATTTCTCTCAGTGAAAATGTTATTCATCACATGAAATCAATAGATGATAAATAATTTATCGGATTCAAATATTTTCTATTCTATGTCTAAAAATTCTCCTAACGAGTTCTCTTACTTATCACAACAATCATTCCATCTCTAACCAATAAACCTTTTATTTGGACTAAAGCAACCAGATATTTATTCATACTGAGAAAGGGATTCATCTGATGTAAATAAAAGCTTAATAAAAGTATATCTCGCGTTCGAATGACCGCTTAAAGTAGCTCTACCCTTTTGGGGTTATATTTCAATTCAAAGATTTTTAAAGACTACAACAAATCTCCTAAAAACGCGGTGTGATTCGGAATCGTAATTTTTTTCCTCATTTAATTGTCGTTCAAGTTGTTCTAAAAGGAAATGTTGAAAATCTATTATTTAACACAGGGTCTTATGTGAAAAACGCTGAATTTACCACAACTCCGGTTAAAACAAAGATTAAAATCTAATTTTTTTTCCTAAAAACGAGAAAAAAATAATAAAAAATATTGGCACCTGTTGGATAACGATTTATCGTTTAGTTTTTTTTATTATTAATAATACTGGCAACAGGAATAGACATGACAACAGTGACCATGTGATGGCGCCCGCTCCGCTCGTCTCCAACTTCCCATATGATCGTACGGCGTTGCCAGTTATTTGCAAGCTAGTCAATTGAAAAACTGCTTATGTGCACTTTATTTTAAAAAAATTGATATAAGATAATACTTATGCTCATGACCTCTATGATTTATTTTAATAATTTAGAGCTAGGAATACTGATTTTTAGAATGTATTTTTTGTGAAATAGACTCAATGACTCCAGCCGTAGGGGTAGAGCTACTTTAAGTGCGAGGTATTCAAACAAACCCATTTATTTGATCAACTCTCAACCAACTACAGAACATTCATATTTTCTTCTCTTTAGTGAAAAGAAAAGGAAAAGAC